GAGGTGGAAAGAGAAGAGGGTTAACAAAGCAGCAGCGAGCAGGAGACACGGCGCCCCCCAGGTTTGGAGGACCACAGTGCATCTCACATTGACGCACAGAATTTTGGGTGTGGGCAGGATGGAAGGGCACATTCAGGACAACAGGGCAGAAGATGGGACTCCACCTCACTGCAAAATTAATGCCATGTAATGATCAGTCGTTATTTTCTAGTGGAAGCGGCGTGACCTTCAGTTTAGAGAAGCTTTAGAGAGCTGAGGGCAAAATGAACACAATGACCGAAGTATAATTCCCCCTGGAAAATGAAATCACCACAGGCATCAGAAAAACAAAAACAAACACTATGGTATAAATTACAGTTGTGCCTATCAGAAGTGTGGGAGATTTTTTTATATATACATCTCCCACACTTTTGATAGACACAACTGTATTTTATATATATATATAAATATATGAGATATATGACATATATATATGAGAGATGGTGTAGCGGAGACCAAGGGGGTGGCAGTGGATGAAGCCATGCACCTTCTGAAGGTCTACAGAGAAGATACTCGGCACAGTGCCAGACGCATCTGCTCCTTCAGCTCACTCCACATCCAGCAACTGCGCATGGGGTTTTCAACCATTCCACAGATGGAGGAACAGAATTTTATCACTGATTTTATAATTTTTAAATCATTATCATGCTGTTTTTGACAGATGATTTCACCCACAGGCAAGCGAAACCGTACAATTTCACCCGTTAGCCACTGATACGGGCAGCTTTTGTGCTACCAAATTCTGTAGGAAATCCTTTTAATTGGCACCCTTAGTTTGTCCTTAGCTACCTGGCTAACCTCTGCCCCCCCCCCCCCCCCCCCCAAGCACAGAAACCGTGCTGCGTTCTCCTGTCCAGAGCAGCTCCTGGGATCCTAAAGGTTATTTTCCTCTTGCCCCCCCACTGCCTCACTCATGCCCTCATGCTCGGAGGGGTGACGCTCTTCGACCAGTTTCTCCGGCTTTGTTACATCTCTTTCCTTTTCCTTTCCCCCCGTAAGGCTGTCGGCCGCTAGGGGGAGGGTCATTACGCTCATTCCTCACATGCTAATGCCACTGTGTCAGTATGAAAAGGTCCGCCAGACTCTGACCCGCGATTTTGCTTCTGAGACTGAAATCTGTGGCTCAGTGGGTTATAATGCTGTGCATGTGACCAGAAAGTCCCAGAGACGGGAGACTGATCTCACCTCTGGTTCCCCAACAAGGCCCATCGCCCCCCAAATTCTTCAGCATCTGCCCCGGCTTTCACAGTTGTACATCATTTTGGATAAAAGCATCTGCTAAATAAGTGATATGTAAATATAAATGTTCCGATAACCCTGAAACAAATGAGAGGTGATCCCAAGGAATGAGGAACCGAACCAAGCACTGAGAATAATCAGAGCTAAACTAGCGTAGCAATAGTTCTGTTTCCACAGGTGAGGCTGCGCACACAAAAAATGCCATCACTAAACATGGCGGCGCACACAAAAATGCCATCATCACTAAACATGGCGGCGCACACAAAAATGCCATCACTAAACAGGGCGGCGAGTCCTTAGCTGGAGCCTTACACACAATCACAGCCTCAGGTTCAAGGCAGGAGCTACGGCAAACATGATATGAGTGGCCTGTCCACACATCTACCACGTGACACGCTTGGTGACACGCCTGTACGTCAAGAGCGGGAGGATGCAGCGGGAAAGCTTTAAGCGGTGTTATGTGTGTAAATTACTGGGGCCACCTCAAGGACATTGCCTCTCCTCCAGAGGACCTCCTCCATCACTGTCGACGGGGTGAGTGGAACACGTGGGCCAGACCAACGTGCTCGAGGTGATGAATGGGTATTGATGGAGGAAGGTGATGGATTCACTCACACTTGCACCCTAACAGAGACACCATCCTGGACCATCCTTCTGGTGGCGCACGTGAGGGAACGCAAAACACAGACACCAGGCAGAGGGGCGGGACGCTGGGTCTTCAGTCTCCATCCCAAACCAAGGTGGCCACCTAATCCCTGTCTATGACACTATGCGCTACTTCAGCTTTTACAAACTACTTAAAAACCGAAAGGCTCCAATGGTCGGCTAAATTCTTTGGTTCGTGTTGTACTTTTATTGGTCTGTTTCCTCGATTGAAAGATTTATCCACCTGCTTCCCATTAACATTAATGACACGTGCATGATTATTGGAGACTGACCAATCAGCACACAGCAAGAAGGTCATTTTAAGTGAAATGGTAGTTTACAAGCCCTGTCGTACCACATAGTGCCCGTCCTGACATGGATTGGGCGGTCACCCTATCCCAAACTGCCGCCCCAGCCCCACCTCAGTCAGTCTGTGGGGTATACGTCTATTTGTAACGCCGTACTTTCAGAGGCTTGGGGCTGTGCCCTTAGGGACACTGGTGGCTTCCCCTCACCCAACCCAAACACAAAAGAACGGACCTCTGGGATTCCTGCAAATCACCCCACGATCACCACGGATCAGCCCGGCTTGGGGCGGGCGGACAGATCTGTCATCCAGTGCACCTGAGCTTCAGACACACTTAACAGACCCACGAGGTAGGAAGGAGCACAGTGACTCATGTCACAGGCTAGTAACCTGATGGTTGCCGGGTGAAACCTCAGGGGAAGCTGTGATAAGCAGAGCGAGCTGAGCGAAAGTGGCCCAGCAGAAGAGCTGAACAACGGTTAAAAACTGACTCAAGTGCCAGAAAAATAACCAACAGCATGCAGACTGTCACGGTGACTCAGGAGCGTCTGAGCGCGAGTGGGTTTGCTTCCTCCCTGCATCCTGCTACACAGTCGCATGTGTTACATATCTTCTTACCTCTCAAGTCCGCCTCACGGGGAAGGGACAGGCGCTGGGGACCAGCCAATCGGCTGCCGGCCGCGGAATCAGCCGCGCAATCCATCTGCGGAGGCGAAAGTGAACCCTGGCTGCCTCGTCTTCAGCGGCTCGACGAGGAGAAAATAAAAATCTGCCGGGATCAGCAGTTCCCGCCGGCTGGGCTCCGGTGCCGGGGGCCCACCACGCTTACCGGCCAGACGCGATGGTGTGCGGACCAGTGGAGCGGTTTATAACCCGCTCAGGGCTGAGCAGCTCCGGTGCACCCCCCCTCCCCCTCCCCAACCATTCTGTTATCTCCCAATGACATCCCCGCAGACACAATTCCAAAACCAAGTACCTCATTCCGTCTGGACAAGGAGGGAGACAGCGTATCAGTACTGAGTCGACCCAAAAACCATATAAACGCCACGGGAAACGATTCACTGCTGTTCACAAAAGGCGTTTAGAGGCCCATCAGTGACATCACCTTCACCGTGTGGCTCCTGTAGAAGGTGACTACAGTCACAGAGGGCACAGGCTGGGAGAGACACCATCGTTTATATCCATCCTGTTTGGGCCAATCGTGCACAATCTTAGCCGCGGCCACGGAACTCCAATGCATCTTCTGCACATAATGCATGCATGAGTGCGGCATGCAGCTGTAAAACACGGGTAGTAAGCGGACTCCGCGCGTAAAGACATATTAATGCCCCACGATATCGACTGCTACATCTCACTCTGTACAACTCAGTCACACGCAAAAACAGATGCACACGCAGGCGAACTTTAAAGTCAAGACAAGAAATTATAGCCACTAAGGAGAAATTAAACAAACTCAAAAAGGTGACCCCATGTGTCTAGAGGGAGAGAGTGCACAGTGCATCGCTGCCCCGCTCACCCCCCGGCA